CAGCAACCCACTTTGAGCTGCTCGCGCCGATCACACCGCCTGCGCGAACAAATTGACCTGCTCGCTACAATCACACATGGCGTGCATCGCACCTTGAGCTGGTCGCCCTCGTTATAATCACGCACCTTGAGCTGGTCGCCCTCGTTATAATCACGCACCTTGAGCTGGTCGCCCTCAGCCAGCACGGATTCGACGTTGGTGACGCGGTCGTGGGAGATCTGGCTGATGTGCAGCAGCCCGTTCACCCCGCCGATCTCCACAAACGCGCCGTACGGCTTCAGCGACTGCACGCGCCCCACCACCACGTCGCCCACCTGCCGGGGAGGGAGGGCCAAGGGGATGGCGGAGAACGGAAGCGGATGGCGGGAGAGAGGGGATGAGCGATGGGCACCGGTGCAACGAAGCGCGCGAGTGCTTCAGCGACTGCGCGTGCCCCACCATAACGTCGCCCTCCAGCCCGTCGTTGCGGAGGAGGGAGGGGAGGGTAGTGCGTGGGGGGTCGGAGACGGAAGGGCATGAGCGCGTGGGGACACGGGGATGGGAAGGGCATGGGGACGGGGGAGGGTAGCCGGAGAGAAGGCATGGGGCATGAAAACGGGGTGCGACGATGCGCGCGAGTGTCGCAACGGCGCGGCGCGCAGGGTCGCGTACCTGCAGCGACTGCGCGTGCGAGGCGGCGACGGCGCGGCGGTTGGAGAGCACGAGGCGCGTGCGCTCCTCGTCGACCTCGAGGAACTTGAGCGGAATGCGCGTGCCCACCAGATCCTCCTTCGCCGCGCGCTGCTCCCGCCCGCCCCGTGGAATGCGGGAAGGGGGAAGGAGAGGAGGGGAAGGGGGAGGGAAAAAAGAGCAAAGGAAGGCGCATATGACGACAGGAGGCGAGAGGGTGCGCCACCGGGGGAACGAGGCAAGGCGGTGGCGCGAAGGGGGGAAGGCGCGAGGGAGTGAGACGGGGAAACCGAGAGAACCAACGGAATCAGAAAGGGCAAGCCACAGACGTACCAGGCCGATCTGCGAGAGCGGGACGAATCCTCGCAGCCCCTCCACCTCGACGAGCAGCCCGCCGCGATTCACGGCGATGACCTGCCGGGGAGAGAGACGCATGGCGAGGCGAGTTATGACGGGGAGGCGCATGGGCGCGAGGGGGGAGGAGGAGAGAATGGAGAAGACAGCGCGGTGTGATGAGGACGTGGGAGGACTGTAGGGATACGGGAGGGAAAAACGCGACGACACAGGTGGACGCAGCGCCAAGCGGCATCAGCGCTCGAACCATCCGAGCCAGCGATCGAGGCAACCCTAAAAGCTATCAGCAGCCCATCCCACGCGCTCTCAGATTCCCGCCTCTCCTCATCTGCTACCCATACCCTTCAGATTGACGTCAGCTTCACTCACAGTGCCCCTGACGGTGACGTCATCGGCCACGAGCTGGCGGCACCGCTCCCAGGCGAGGTCGTACTGTAGCTTCCTCAGGCTCACGATCATGCGGCCCTGCGAGTCGTCCTCATCGATAACGACAAACTCCGCCTCCATGCCCGGCACGAGCCCCGTGTCGCTCATGTTCTTCAACCGGAACAAGCACGCCTCCGCCAGCGGCAGCAGCGCGGGCGCCTTTGCGCCGATGTCGATCAGCGCGCCCGCGTTGTCCGCCTTGAACACCACTCCGCGCACCTGCGGCGGAGGGCGAAGTGGGGGGAAAGAGGGGGAGGAGCCGGGAAGGCAGAAGATGGTCTTACGACGTAGGAGCGGGACACGGCGCCGCATTAGGGTTGGACCGCACGTGCTGCAGCACCTGCACTGGAAGAATCTCCTACGCACTCGCTTCGCACTAGCTTCGCACTTAAACCCCGGCATACCACCCGCCATTCCGCTCCGCTGCTATTTCCTTTGGTCCAGCTCCAACATAAACCCTGATACGGCCCCTGTTTCCTTCGTCCGCAACGCGTGCCGTAGCTGCGCGCCATTGTTCACCATTGCCGCGCCGCACCTTGTCGCCGATGTCGAAGTTAAAGTCGTACTTCTCGAGGGCCTCCTCGAACTCGAGCGCCGTGAACGCCACGCCCTCCGTCGGCTGCCGCTCCACGCGCGCAAACCGCTCCTCCGCCTCGCGCAGCAGGTCCAGCCGCGCCGTCGACGGCGGCGCGTAAGTCACGCTGCATTGTACGCGCGCGCGGGAAGGCGCGACGGCAGCGAGGCGGCTGCCAGAAAGGTCGCTGCTGCTGAGAGAGTTAAGGGAGGCGGGGACGGTCGCCGCCATGCCGACGGTCGCGACCTGAAGGAGGCCCGCCATGGTGATGAGTGAGCGCGCGGTAAACACGGGCTAGGTAAGGCCTCAATGCGCCACGTGTGAATGAGAAAGAAGCAGAAAGTGACACGCTGACAGCAAGATGTGGTTGGTTGGATAAGGGTGGAGGCGAGGGGAAGAGGAGAATGAGGTGTAACTCGTTATTGAGAAACCTTCGGTGCCCTAATGAACTTCTATGCATCATTTCATCAATATTGCCTGACTTTGTGTTTATCTCGAAATGGACGTGAAAAATGCCCTCCAGACTACCACGATCCTCGCTGATGTGGCTACAGTGCAGCCACCGATTCTTTCACACGCAAGTCCCTGGGAAAGATCCTTTGCTTCATCTCACCACGCTGTAATGTTCGGAACCGCAACATTTTGAGCCAAATGAAGTTTGAACCGAACCAGTTTCTGTCGGTTGTGTTTGAGAAAAACGAAACTGATCACTTTTGGCGAACTGGCGAAGCGATGGACAGCAGTTGCATTGACGACTCTGTCGGGTAACCTCGTTTCGTTTCATAATTGAAGTACCACGCCCATGATTGTGTGGTAGCGTGTCAAGCTCCCGATTCGTTGCCAAGTTTCTCGAGTTGTGCTGTATGGCTGCGTTGCCCTTGCTCTCCCCGACGCGTCCGTCAACAACCCGCGTCCTCTTAAATCCGACCAATGCGCGCGCTAGGTCTCCACCAATCAGGGCCCGGCGCGTGTGGCTCGCATCGTTCCTAGTTCTGGCGTGTGTCGCGTGGGGCGCAGCGTTTCTCTTCCGCTTCACCCACCCCGCCCGCGGGGAGTGGGTAGCGGCGGGGGAAGGGGGGGTGGTTGTTGGCGGGAATAGCTCCGAATGGCGAGGCGCGCAGGCGTGGAAGTGGTTGGGGGATGGTTGGAAGGGACTGGAGCAGCGAATTCGTCACGCGGCGTCGCCGCTCGGATTGCAAAACTCGTCGGCTTCTGGGGAAGGCATATCTGTGGAGATGGATGGATGGATGGACATGCGCGAGGCGGCGAGGTATTAACGAGGCCGCGTGACCCATGCCACGTGTGCTTGCTCCGTCTTCGCGCCTTCTTACGCCACGCGCTGTGCGTGCGTGGTGTACCCATGCCACCGGCGCGCCTTCCGTTGCCATTTCCCTTCGTAACCTCCCCCAATCCCCTTCCCTTTCCCCCGTGCCACTCCCTCTGCGCCTCGCATGTGCGGTCAGGCTGTGGCAGCAGCGCGTGGGGTGCGCGGAGTTCAGGCGCAAGCACGGGCACGGGCGCGCCGACGCCCATGGCCATGGCGCGCAGGCGAAGCGAGGACCAGCAGCGTTCCCTCCTAACCCGAGCCTTCAGGTGCTCTCCTGCTCTGTGCTGCGCCGGGCATTCCCTCTCGCAGTCAATTCAGTAGTCAACAAGCCGCGGCTGTGTGGCGCCGATGGGGATCTCCCTTCACCCCATCCGCTGCACCACCTCCCCTCAGCCTGCACACCCCACGTGCCCTTCTTCGCAGCACCCTTCTCTGCCCACTTCATTCAGCCCCTCTCGCTCTCATCCGGCCCCTTATCTTCCCATCTCCCTTCTCCTTCGTCTTTTTCCCATCGCACTCCCCTTCCCCCAATTCTCCTCTTCCCGCCCTCCCCACCCTCCCCGCCCTCCCCGCCCTCCCCACCCTGTCCTCCTCCTCCGCCCTTGCGCCATCAGGACGTGAACGCACCCACATGTGCGGCGCTCAACCTCTCCCACGTGGTGGTGCACGTGAAGCAGCCTAGTTGGCTGCAGCCCACGTGGCTGGATGGCTTCCACGTGTGCACCAGATGCAGCATCACATGCCAGGTGCCTTGTGTTGGTTGCCTTGCACGGCTGTGTTTCTTAGGACTTCACCCGAGGTGTTGTGAGCCCACGTGCACTGATGCTGCTTCATGCAATGCCCCGTTTCTGCATACTGCCTCTCTTCTCATTCCGGTGATCCCTAACCTGCCCCTTCATTCTCCCTTTCCACATCTCCGCCCTCCCCTCTCTCCACCCACCAGCTCACCTGGAACCCCTCGCAGCTACCCGCCACCCCCCACGCGCATCTCTTCGTGCATTCCCCCGACGCCATGCCGCTCACGCGCGCGCCCACGGCACCCCTGCGAGTGCTGCTGCAGATGGAGGCGGACGGGGTGCTGGCGGGTGCGCGGGCAGAGGGGCGGGTGGACGTGGGCGTGGGGTACGGGGCGGGCAGTGCGGTGCAGGTGACGTATGTGGACGTGGAGCGCTCCCTCAGGGCGGGCAGGCAGCACCTGCTGGCCGACAGGAAGCGCCAAGTGTGTGAGTGGGCGCCAAGTGTGTGAGTGGGCGCCAAGTGTGTGAGTGGGCGCCAAGTGTGTGAGTGGGCGCCAAGTGTGTGAGTGGGCGCCAAGTGTGTGAGTGGGCGCCAAGTGTGTGAGTGGGCGCCAAGTGTGTGAGTGGGCGCCAAGTGTGTGAGTGGGCGCCAAGTGTGTGAGTGGGCGCCAAGTGTGTGAGTGGGCGCCAAGTGTGTGAGTGGGCGCACACACACATGTGGTTGCAGGCATGGTCCCTTGTGGTGCGAGCAGGGTGGCGTGTGGTGTGTGGTGTGTGGCTGTCAACCATCGTTTCTTGCCTTCCATGCATCCCTCCACCTTGATCCCCTTTGCCCACAAACCCAGAACTCTCTGCCCTTCTTTCCCCTGTAACCTGTAACCTCCCTTTCTCTCCCCCCCGATTCCCGGCCAACATGCACGCATGGCAGGACGTGCTGCTGCACCACGCCTCCTCCAACTGCGACGTGCCGTGGCGCACACAGCTGCTCCAGTCGCTGCTGCCGCGGCTGCCCCACCACAGCTTTGGCGCCTGCAGCAACAACATGGGCGGCACCAACCGCGAAGCAGCGCTCTACCCTGCCTGCTCGCATCTGTGAGGCCTTCTCCTCAGGTCCATGCCACACTGCTCCACTCCTCCAACTTTCCGGCCTATTATGAAGGAGCCATTTTTCCAACGTCTCATGCTTCACTCTCCCCTCATCTCATCTCCTCTCATCTCAACTCCCTCTCCCCATTTCAAGTCTGTCCCAGCATTTGCTCTCCTCCCACTGGCTCGCAGGTACGTGGGCGAGCAGCGGCAGGAGGTGGCGCACTGTGTGAAGTCGCACTACAAGTTTGACCTCGCTGTCGAGAATACCGTCACCCCCAATTATGTCACTGAGAAGTTCTACAGCGCACTTGAAGCAGGTGAGGAGGGGGAACGGTGGGAGAGGGTGTTCCCTTGCCACCCTGTTGTGCTGTGGAGCTGAAGCATGAGTGCTCACCACAGGTGTCGTCTTCTCTCTTCACATTTGCCAGGCACGGTGCCGGTGTACTTTGGAGCGCCAGACATTGCCAGCTTTGCGCCGCCCGAGTCGTTCATTGATGGGCGGCAGTTTGCCTCCCACGAGGCCCTGGTGGACCACATCAATCGCCTCCACAATGACCCGGGTGAGTCATTGCCTCGTACCCATCCCCAGATAGTGTTCTGCCTATCCTTCAAGGATTCTTTCATGTTAACTTAATCTCCCTCCATATAGTGTGCAGTCAGCCTATCCTCTAGACGTCTTCACTTGGTTTCACGAGGAGAACCCCCCTTTCTCGCTTTCTCGCTTTGTTGTACACCAGTCTCGTACATGCATTACCATGCTTGGCGCTTGTGTGGCGTGTGGGGGAACTATTCGCATGCACGTTCACTTGGTTTCTCAACACTCCCTTGTAGATTATGTGAGTATATCAGTTCAATTAACAGTTGATGGCTGGTTGGTTAGCTTATGTACAGAATATTGTATGCTGGTTTGTATTATAGATTTTGATGTTTGAATATGTATTTCTGTAGCGGGTTTTCACTTCCCTGCTAATTCGCTTTTTAGCTTTTAGATAAATAGCGTTGATGGGCGCGATCGTGATTGGTGGCAAAGACCGAAGGGAAATGATGATTGCGGCTCTCAGCAGCTCGCGCGAATCCGAACCATCGATTTCACGGCCTCGTAACAGCCGTGCGATTCTGCCAAGGATCAAATCAGACGTGGCAAGCAGACACCACCGCCACCAGCTTCGGACTTGTACAGTACAGTAGTTTTCAGGAAGGAGACTGCGCATGTGGACAAGTTGAAATGCACTTACTGCTTTTTTTTTTTACTTGTGACTAGAACAGTTTCATATGGTTGAAATTAAGAGCGGAGAAGTGGGGATTGGGGAAAACCGGCGTAGAAATGAAGGGGGATACCATTGGCTTTTGCACCCTATTAAAAGTCAAGTTTCCAGTTGGTACAATCAAACTTCGTGAATCGTGACCCGCCAACGGTACAGCGCTTCCCACTGAATCGTTGGGCTTGATTACAACTAAATATCCGGAAGTGGGGCGGTTACGATTAATGCGTGTCTATGGAGAGTGTTACCCTGACGACATCGTTCGCCAGCTATTTCGTGTCAAATCACCAGCAGCCAGTTATTAGCGATGATCTTCCCAGCTCGTTCCCTTATCACGACTGGCTGTGATTCTTTCGTGGTTGGCGACAGCTGAGTCCAGTTCGTGCCCGCCACCAGCAGCCAGCTATCCTCCCCTCCGCGCCACCACCCCCACCTCCCCGCGCGCGCGCGCAACACCGCCACAGCCACAACTACCACCCACGCGCTCCGCCTGTCCTCTTCCTCCCCTCCCCACACTGCGCCCCTTCGCCCCTCACAGCAATGCGGGATGGCAGCGCAACCCATCTCCAGCTCCAGCTCTCGCATCCATAGCTGCGCATTCCTCGGTTATCCCTTTACAACCCCCGTTCGGCTGTCCCTAAAGCTCCACACTGCTGTCACTGCATTGTCTAGACACTCTTCCACGATCGTTCTGCTGCTCGTCGTAGCTGTAACAGCCTATTACTGAGCTAGCTGCCCCGTTGGTGTCTTCGCAACATCGTTGCTTGACTTCTTGTAATCCACGTGCTTATAAAAAAGGTGCTTGATCGCATCTCAGAAACAGTGCTCATCTATCTCGACCATTACCGCCTTATTCTCGCCGGGAATGTCAAAATAAAAAACGACAACCTGCAACCCGCGCCATGCCGATGGGCGACAGCGGAGGTCTCGCTGCGCCGATGGCACTCACTCGCGCGCTGCCGACGTGGGTGGTGGAGGTGTCGCGGCACCGCGAGCCGAGCAGAGACGCGGTGATGGCGGCCGTCGAGCACGTCGCCGCTGAGCCCGCCAGCATTCTGCTCGTCCACGTCATCACCGAGGTTCCCTGCGGACGTGAGCTTCCTAATCTCCCCTTGTCATACCCACTCCCGCCACTTGCCCGTCTGTAGCCAGCCCGTTTCGGCACGACCTCCAGTGCTCGCACCGCCTTCAAATGCTATTTGCCCAACCCTCCTCACAATTCCTTCACCCCACCCTCTCCGCACATCCCTGTCCGTGCGTCGGCGCGCGCAGGTAACCGGACGGTGGCGGCGAGCGAGGCGGACGGCAAGGCGGCGACGGAACACGCCAAGAAGCTCGTCGACGTGCTGCTCGAGCCGCTCTTCGCGCTCGTCCGCGCCGCCAATGTGCGTCCCGCCCGCATGTCGCATGTACTCCAACGGTCATGTCCAGGGCCGGGCAGTGATGCCTTACACTCGCATGCTCCCACCCGCGTGCCCTCACATTCCCCTAACCAGTTGGATTCTGAGAATTCTTATATTCCACTTTGTCCGCCTCGTCTCATCTCCGTGCACCCGATCGTCCTCTCGCCGTCCCTCGCCCTCTCATGTTTCTTTTTCCTTCCCTCCCTGCACCCGCATCAGGCGCCGTGTTCGGCGGTGCTGGAGCTCAACGACTCGCGCCACGATGGCCTGGTCGCCGCCGCCAGGCGCGCAGCCGCGGATCGCGTTTACATGGGCGCGAAGAAGTGAGTACGCGGGGATCGAGGGGAGAGAGAGAAGGGGGTCGGGGGGAGGGGGGGGAGTGGTAAGGGGGAGAGGGGGAGAAGAGGGCGCGAGCCACCCTGATGGCACGAATATCGAGAGGCAATGAATGCTGCGGTGGCACATATAGCGGTGCAATTCTGAGAAAACTCAAGAATCCCTTTGACGCTCTCCATTTCCGCGCTCACTCCTCGCCCCTTCCCCGCGCCCCGCGCCCCCGCCCCCCTCACCCCGCGCCCCTGGCCCCCGTGCGACAGGAAGCTGCTGGGGTGGTCGTCGTCGGCGACCGTCGCGCAGTGCCAGGCGAGTCTGCCGCCCACGTGCCGCCTCTTCATCGCGCAGGGCGGCTCGCGACTGCAGCGCCTTCAAGCCGCGGGAAAGGCCCACTCCGCGCACCCCATCCCCCCACCGTTTTACACCCCCACCGCCGCGGCAGTGCAACAGCCGTCGCGCGGCATCCCCCCCTCGATCTCCTCCACGTCGCTCCCCCTGCAAGCCGCCGACGCCGCCCTCGCCTCCCCCTCCTCCAACTCCTCCGGCTCCGCGCGCTTTCCCCCCTCCGCGCAAGGCCAAATGGAATCCGCGCAGCAGCAGGTGGGGGCAGCCAGAGAGGCGCCGGGGAACGCGGAAGAGAGCAGGCGAGGGGACGGGAGGGGGGCGCACACGCGCGGGCACAGGTCAGCGTCGTGCGGGGGCGGGGAGGACGCGGACTCGGGGCTGCTGGCGCAGCAGCTGCAGGAGCTGAGCGCGCAGGCGCAGGGGGGAGAAGGGGCGAGCCGGGCGGAGCTAGAGCGGCAGCTGCAGCAGGTGGTGGCGCTGCAGCAGCGCATTCAGCAGCAGCTGCGCGGCAGCCCGCTCCCCGCGCCTCACGCCGGTAGTAGCGACTCCGCGCACAGCGCGTCCCCCAATAGCCAGGGTTCCGCGTATGGCACACCGGGCATGGGCGCGGGCATGGGCATGCGCGCGGGGCTGAGTCTGTCGCAGGACTGCGACTACCCCGTGTCGCCAGGGTCGCTGTCGCTGGGCCACGCCACGTCGCCGCTAGGCCCCGGGTTCAAGCCCCCCCGCTCCCCTTCTGGGGGAGCGCGCGCAACCTTTGCGGGCAGCGGGGGCATGGCGGGCACTGCGCCATTCGCCGTGTCCCCCAAGCAGGCGTCCGCCGCATCGCAGCAGCGCCACTTCCCGCGCATACTCTCCGCGCCCACCCCCTCCGCCGCCGCCGCTGCCGTGGCGGGTGCTGCAGCGGGGCACGGAGACGCGGGGACGTCCCCCAGCAGTGCGAGCAGCTCCCCCGCTACCTCCATGGAGCGCCGCCTGCTGCCCCCCCGCCGCCCCTCCTTTGACGCGCGCGCCCTCGCCGCCCCCGCTGCGGCCGCGGCTGCGTCAGTGGCAGGCGCAGCTGGGGGGGCCGCAGGTGGCGGGGGCGCGTTGCAGCGCTCGCCCGGAGGGTCGGCGCGGAGGGGCGGGGGGTCGATGTCGCGCGTGCGGAGCTACGAGACGCTGGTGGCGCTGAGAGAGGAGGAGGGCGAGGACGGGCACGGGGGGGCCGCGGAAGCGGAGGAGGGGGAGGGGGACGGGGATGGGGAGGGCGAGGAGGTGGGGCGAGGGCGGTCGCTGGCGGACGAGCTGGCGGCGCTGGCGGCGGAAGACGAGGGGGGGGAGGGGGGCGAGGGGGCTGAGCGCAAGGGGTCGAGTGAGAGCTGGCGGGGGCGCGCTGTGAGCAGCAACCGCGGGGCGGGCAGCAGCGCGGGCAGCGACGCCGAGGCTGCCGCCTGGGCAGCTGGGCGCAACGGGGTAGGTGGAATTTGATGCATGCTGGGGCGTTGGATGGGTGCGTGCGTGAGATGGGCGGAGTGGGGTTGATTGGGTACATGCCATGTGCTTCGTGTTGAGGCGTTGCTTTTTTCCGACTTCAACGTTCCTTCACACCATGCCATGTCATTCCTCTCCTCACTTATCCCTCTCCGCCCTCTCCCCCCCAAACACCACAGACGTCCAATGCCCGCACCCCCGACTGCACGCCACCTCTGCTGTCCTCACGAGCCCTGGCGCAGTCCGGTGGTGCCAGGGCGCTGGATGGGTCCCTCTTAAGCACTCCCTCTCACCACACCACACCACACCATGCCATGCGTTTCCTCACTCATCCCTCTTTGCCCTCTCCCCATGTTCCGACCCCACCCTCACCCCTGCACGCGCCACAGACGACCAGCGCGCGCACGCCCGAGTGCACGGCAGCGCTGCCATCGTCATTGGCGCTGGTGCAGGCCGGTGGTCTGCCTCAGAGTGGCGGCTTCCAGTCGGGCAGTCTGCCGCAGTCAGGCAGCATACCGGGGTCGGGGGGGCTCATGGCGGGCAGCAGCGTCGCCAGCACCGACACCTTCCTGCCGCTCGACAGCTTCGAGTCCTCGGAAGCTTCCCAGAACCAGCAATCCTCGCGCCCCTCGCGCTTCCAGCACCTGACGGCGATGGCGGCGCGCCACGGGCAGTCGCAGGGGCCGCTGCTGGCCGCCGCGTCGCACGGGCCGCTGCACGCGCACTCCCACGGCGCCTCCTTCGGCCGCGCCGCCTACAGCAGCGGGCAGCTGGGCGCGGGCGGCGGGGGAGGAGCGGGTGGCGACGGGTTTGACTGCCGGCAGTTCACGGCGGCGCAGCTGGCCAGGGCCACCAGCAACTACGCGCCGGAGAACCTTCTAGGAAGGGGGTCGTTCGGGCAGGTGTTCAAAGGCGAGATGCTGGGGTGCAAGGTGGCGGTGAAGCGGCTGGAGGGGCAGGGGTGGCAGGGGCCGGACGAGTTCAGGGTGGAGGTGGAGGTGCTGTCGCGCATGCGCCACCCCAACATCGTGCTGCTCATGGGCTGCTGCACCGAGGAGATGGCGCTCGTCTACGAGTTCCTCCCGGGCGGCACGCTACAGGACAAGCTGGGCCCGCCCAAGGGGTCGGCGGCGGTGCCGCTGAGCTGGGCGGAGCGGCTGCGCATCGCGGCTGAGGTGGCGTCGGCGCTGCTGTACCTGCACCAGAACGACCCGCCCATCGTGCACCGCGACTTAAAGCCCGACAACATTCTCCTCGACGCGCACCTGGCGAGCAAGATTGGCGACGTGGGGCTGGCACGGCTGCTGGAGGCGGACGGCGCGACGACCATGAAGGTGCGCGGCACGGCGGGGTACATCGACCCCGAGGAGGTGGAGACGTGTGAGATCAGCGTGCTGAGCGACGTGTACGCGCTGGGGCTCATCCTGCTGCAGCTGCTCACGGGGCAGAGGAGCGTCAAGGCCGTGCACCGCATGCTGGCTGAGGCTGCCTCCAAGGGCCGTGCGCGGCCGGGGGACGTGGGGCCGGGGGGAGCGAGCAAGGCGGCGGTGGCGGTGGTGATGCGGTACCTGGACACGGCGGGGGGTGAGTGGCGCGCGGATCTGGTGGAGCCGGTGGTGGGCGTGGCGCTGCGCTGCGCTGAGCGGCGGCGGGCCAAGCGGCCGGAGCTGGTGGGGGAGATCCACCCGCTGCTCGTGAGGGTGGCGGCCGAGGCGGAGAAGGAGGTGAAGCAGCGCAAGCAGCAGATGGATGAGCAGTTCCTCTGCCCCATCTCCAAGGTACCGTGTCCTTTTCCTTCCAAGCCACTGTGACTCGCAGTTCCTCCTCTTCCTTCGCTCTCTGCACATCCCGACCACCCACTCCCATTCACATTATCCCGTCCCCGCGCTTCCTTCCCCTCCCCTGTGTCCATGGCAGGAGGTGATGCGGGACCCAGTGGTGGCAGCGGACGGGTTCACATACGAGAGGGAGCACATGGAGCGGTGGATGGCCACGTGCACGCTGTCGCCCGCCACGGGGCAGCCCCTCGCGCACTCCAGCCTCACCCCCAACAACGTCCTCAGGAACCTCATCGCCTCCCACCGCCAGCGCTGACCAACGCCCTGCCCTGCCCTGCCCTGCCCTGCCCTGCTGGTCGCTGCACTGGGTTGAGCGGCAATTCCACTGAGAAGCACGAGCGATGCTCAAGAATGGCAAGGCCACGCCCAACCACGTGCTGGATTACCCCGTCGCCTTGCAGCACCACCGGTGACTGGCTCTTTGGGGACTCACTGTGCTCTCATTGCCCACACCACACACATGCGCCCCTTCATTCCTGCTGCAGTCTACGTGGCACTCCAGGGTGCGCCTGCAAGGCTGCCTGTCTACATTCATCCGCCAGAAGTTGATGCATGGTCCTTGTTAGGTCGATATAGCAACCATGTGGTTGAAATTAATTACACTACTATTAATTCCTTGACAGTATGACCATGCTACCCTATTCAACAACCAGGCTACTACAGCCATGCCCCATACCATACACCGGTCTTGCTGCTGCCACCATGTCGCATCTTGTCCTAGCCAGCACCACAGCTAGCGGGAGCAGCGGGGGGCGTCACCAGCGCACGGCACGCCATGAGGAGAGGCGCGCCTGCGCGGTGTGGCGGCATCACTGCGTGGCGCGCATGCCTCCAGCGCATGCTCGCGTCATCACCCCTCCGCTCCGCTCTCTCAATTCCATCCTGCTGCACATTCAATTCCGCCCTGTTGCCCTTCGTCGCGCGCACCCACTCTTCCGCCGTTCGCCACCCGTTCTGCGGTCGACCCTTTCACGCTACGTTGCCTTCGTCGCATTCGTCGCCTGCTCCTTCTCCAGTCGTCGCACGGCGTCGCCGATGTCGTCGGAGCCGCCCACGGCGCGCATGGTGTACGCGTACACGCCGCCCACGAACGCCACCAGCGCCGCGCCCACCAGCGCGTTGCGCCCGCGCACGACCTGCGGGCGGACCGGCGGTGCGGGATCCATGGCGCGCTGGCGACGGGAAGAGGGAAAGTGTCGCGAGTAGATAACGAAGGGAATACCGCCGGATGAAAGAGTTGAGTGAGATGAATGGAAGGCTTTGGAAGTAGGGAGGAATTGAAGGAAAACGAGAAACGCGCGAGCAGGGTTGGATAGGGGGTGTTGGGAAACGAAACCAATTCGCAAAAGCAGAAAATTTCAGCGTCGCGAAAAGCTGGTTACAACCCGTTGTGTGTTTCGTTCAGCCCCAGCCAACCATCCTCGCCCCGATCCCACGCGCGCACAATTCGGTCTCCACATTTTGCCGCTGTCGAAGAATCGTTCCGCCCAACGCAGCACTTCGCCTGTCGTAGCCTTCTCGCCTCGTTCAGTCGATAGTTATCAGGCCCGATAACCGCCACGTCTGCGTGGAACCCTAGGGCGGGCGCGATGATCATACGTGTGACGTGCGAGTCGGAGGGGGGCGCGCAGTGCCCGCAATGGGCGCTCGTGGAGCTGCAGGGCGAGCTGCGCGCCGACCTGCCCGCGCTCGCCTCCGCGCTGCCCGCCTCCGCGCTGCGAGGCGACGGCGGGGGAAACGGCCGCGAGGGGTCGGTGCCCGGCAGCGCGGAAGGCGGCGGCGCGGGTGACTGTGACGCGGGGCGCGCATGGGCGGAGGGGTGCACTCCAATCGGCGTGCTGACGTGCCCGCGCCAGGTGGGTGTGGGGAGATAGGCGCGAGAGATAGAGCAAGGGGTGCATGGGCGCGGAGGGGGGAACAGGATGGCGGATTTGAGATGATGTGGCAGGGTGGGGTGTGGTGTGGTTGGCATGGATGGCATGTTAGGGCATGGACGATTCTCGTGCTTGCCAGGGCGGGTAGCACAAGAGGGTGGTGGGATATGCATGGTACCTCTGCCCCTCACTGCATGCTGCCTCTCACTGCGCCCATGCATGCATCTGTGTGTGCATGTGTGTGCATGCATGTGGGTGCACGGCACAGGGAGCAGTGCGGCTGCAGGTGGGGCACAACCAGCTGGAGGGCGCCATGGCGGCGCTGCCCAAGCCGCTGGTGCTGCTCCGCAAGACAGCCGCTGCAGTGCCGCCACATGGGGGGCAGAGAGAGGCGGGCGCAGCAGAGGCAGAGAGTGGATGGAGAGGCTCGTGGGGTGGCGCGCAGGCGAGGGGTGGTGAGGACACAGCAGGGCAAGAGGGTGTGGGAGGAGGGGGAGAAGGGGAGGCGAGGGTAGGGTACAGAGTGGAGGGGGTGATTCGCTGCAAGCTCATCTTCAAGACTCGCCCCAAGCTCGTTCTCTCGGGCGCTCGATAGGGTTGGGGCAGCAGGAACAACATAGACATGGCCATCGTCACAAGTTCGGTGGCGACTGTATTCAGTCAAAGCAGCAGCATAATTGAATCATGGATCGCTGGATACATTCGCTGTGCTCATAATAATACCTTATTTGCATGCAGATGTGTCTGTAACAATGTATGCACTAAATCGCCCTCAAACTATGGTAACAACAAGAATGTGTGGTGGGGTTGCAGCGGCACGGGTCGTCTCGGTGGTGGTGATGATAAACAAGGGATGCTGTGGTGTGCAGTGAGGTGCGGTAGGCACGGTGTGGGACTATTGCAGGCCGTGCTTTGAGAGATACTCCTTGGCTTCTGCTATGTCCTGCACGCACCATGCACAGATGCACCAGTCAAGGCAGCGCACATGCATGCCATGCCATGCCACCACACATCCACACATGCATACATGTATCAGAGAGTTAGCACCTATGCGGGCATGTGGGAAGGACTCCGATACGGTCAGTACTGCCATTCATGCCTGTATGTGCCACACACTCGTTCCCATGCCATTGTGTGCTATCCCCTCATGCCCCTGTCATCGCATGCACTACCAGTCCTGCTAAACGACTGCCCCTGCTACAATCACACGCTGCGGCCACACAACGGCCCTCGCTACAGTCACATCCCCCAGCGTCACCTGGCGCAGCAGCGCGCCCTCGTGCGGGCAGGTGGGGAAGCGCATGAGCCCGTACCCCAGCGCGCCCACGGCGTAGCACCCCAGCGCCACCACCGCGTACACCGGCAGCTGCGCCGCGCGCCAGCACCCACGGGATGCGGGTAAGGCCAGATTCCCCGGGGGAGCGTGGAGGGAGAGGGGCGGGGTTGAGGGGAAGGGGGAAAAGGAAAAGATTGGTGAGATTGAGGGGAGCGGATGGGAAACACAAAGGTGAGTGGCGAGTGTGACGAGAAGGGCAGAGGCATGTAGTGGACGGTGCGGCGGGATGCGAGGAGCGGCGCGGCGCCATACGATGAGGATGACTTGGTTGACGGCGGGCGGGAACTGCTGCGCGAGGAGCAGCGCCCACAGGCCCCCCAGCGACACCGCCAGCGCCACGATCTCCTGAAACGTGCCGCCCGTCTTCATGCTGCGCGCCGATGCGTGCTCCCCTCGTGCAAAAGGACGCGGCCCGCGAGGAGACGCGGCCCGAGCGAGGCGGCAAACCGAACTAGCACAAAACGCTGAAAATACGGTTCCCGGCAATCCGAGATTCGCAGGAGCACGAGGAAGTGGCGCGATGGGACACGCACTCGGAGCGTCGCGTAAAGGTTGCCTGTTGTGGTGGCGCGTTAGGCTTGAAAGATTCACCAGACAGACTCGACGAGCAACTTCAGTAGTTACCGCGACACGATGAAGAGTCCTACCCCGGCATGGTTCGCTGTGAGCAAGCCCACAAATGAGACCCTGCTTTGCGAATGTACACACTGAAACTGCCAAGCTGAAACTCTTAGAAAAAAACAGGGGTACCGTTAATATAATAATAAGTCTGCGCAATACTTCATGCTATTATATTATCTAATATATCACTATTAGTAATGGCTATTAGTAATATATCACTCTCTAAATATATTATCTAATATATCACTATTAGTAATGGCTATTAGTAATATATCACTCTCTAATATATCAGAGAGTTTGCAATTTCGAGATGACTTGAACAGGCCATGTGCTTTGTAACCGTCTATGTTTACACTATTAGTAATGGCTATGCAAAGGGGGGTAGACAACACTTTAATTGCAGAAAATCGGATATATGAATGTCAGAATACATGTACCGTAACACGAGGACTCAGGTGTTCCCTGCTGGTTCAAAGGCGAGGTTGAGGGGGAGAGCAGCCAAGCTCCGCAAGGGTGATTACTGCTGCTTTTGTTTCTGCTCCTCGCCTCTTCGCCATCTGTGTTTTGCAAACAAACCCCTTGCGCAGCTCACACTAGGGTCTCAGGCCGCTAAGGGTTTATTCCTGGGTTGATGTGAGACAGTAGAAGATTATAGACATCGCGCCGTTGCTTGCTGCTAATGGTACGTTATTCGATTCTTTCTGTGTCGGCACGTCTGCATGCTGCAAATGTTCTGGAATTGATGTCGTGTCGCTCGTTTCTGACGCCTCGCGTCTTGGGCGGCTCGTGTGTGGTGCGCAGGCGTTATTCCTGTTGTTCGAGTCGTCGTCAGGCTACGGCCTGTTTGAGGTGAAGGCGCTGGACGAGTTGGCGCAGAGCTCGGACGCCGTGCAGGCGTCCGTGGCGGATCTGACGCGCTTCAGCCAGGTCGTCAACCTCTCCGCATTCAAGCCCTTCAGCTCAGCGGCAGACGCGCTTGAGCAATGCAACGCCGTCTCTGAAGGTGCGCTCTTCCTTCCTCCTCCCGTCCTCCCCGTTCTCGCGCCTTTCCGTTCGGCGCTCTCCGCCACCCGTATGCTAATCGCGCAGACCATCTTCGCGCACTGGGATTGTCCTTCGGGTGCGTGGTGCTTGTGGCGGCGTGCACTTGTGCTGGAACGTGCCGACGGTGCTCACGCGGTTGCGTGTCCCGCGCGGCTGTGCTGGTGTGCGCGTGGTTGTGGTTGGTGCATGGCAGGGCTGCTGACCCCGGAGCTGCAGAGCTTTCTGGAGATGAATCTGCCCAAGGCGAAGGGCAAGGCGGGCAAGAAGGGGTCGTACCAGCTGGGCGTGTCGGAGTCGAAGCTCGGCTCCGCCATTCAGGAGGCGGCGGGCGTGCCGTGCGTCAGCAACGACCTCGTCATGGAGCTCATGCGCGGCGTGCGCCTGCACTTCGCGCGGTTCGTGAAGGAGCTGAAGGAGGGCGACGTGGCGAAGGCGGCGCTGGGGTTGGGGCACAGCTACAGCCGCAGCAAGGTGAAGTTCAACGTGAACCGCGTCGACAACATGATCATCCAGGCCATCTCGCTGCTCGACACGCTCGATAAAGACGTCAACACCTTCTGCATGCGCGTCAGGTGAACCCCCCGCTCCACATCCCCGCTCGCCCGCGCGCATTCGTCGTACAGTTGCGCCGCCTTTGGCTGTTTGAGCCACGCGAGGGGCGGAGCGCCTCAAACCCCGGAACCCGGAGACGCTTTTCTCGCTTTTCTCGCTTTTCTCGCTTTTCTCGCTTTTCTCGCTTTTCTCGCTTTTCTCGCTTTTCTGCAGCCCCTCTCATCGCGTGTGTGTGCGCGCTCACGTGTGTGTGTGTGTGCGCGCGTGGTGTGCGGTGTCGCAGGGAGTGGTACTCGTGGCATTTCCCCGAGCTCGCGCGCATCGTGACGGACAACTACACGTACGCGCGCGTGGCGCGGCGCGTGAAGGATAAGGCGACGTTGACGGAGGAGGCATTAGCGGAGTTGACGGAGATCATCGGCGACGAGGACAAGGCGCAGGAGGTGCTCGACGCCGCCAAGGCCAGCATGGGTCCGTGCGCGCAAGGGGGAAGGGGGGCGGGAGGGAGGGAGGGAGGGATGGAGGGAGGGAGGGAGGGGAGAGCGGGGAGGGCGCCGTGGGGGAGGGGTGTTCTGCTGCGGGCTTGGGGCAGAGCACGGGGCCGCGCGGGGCATTGCGGCGGGATGTGGGGCTTGGTAGCAGAGGAGCAAGGGGGGCGCAGAGGCAGCAGCGGGCGGTGTAGCGGAAGCGCGGGGAGGGGTTTAGGCAGTGGTGTTGGTGTGAGAGTGTACGCGGGGTGGGGTGGCCATGCGACAAATGCTGCATTCGTGTTCGAGCTTCAGGTTCCCCCCCACCCATCCCCACCACTCCATTCCCCCCTCCCCACCTCAACCTCACGGCCCTCCCTGCTCGCTCTCAGCCTCCCCACCCTCCGCCCCGCGTTGCACCGTGCACCCGGCCCCCACTACCCCCCACAGGCCAGGACATCTCACCAATCGATCTGATCAACATAGAGGCATTTGCGTCACGCGTGGTGGCGCTGGTGGAGTACCGGCGGTCGCTGCACTCGTACCTGACGGCGAAGATGGCGGACGTGGCGCCGAACCTGGCGGCGCTGATCGGCGAGATGGTGGGCGCGCGCCTCATCTCGCACGCGGGCAGCCTCACCAACCTCGCCAAGTACCCCGCCAGCACCGTGCAGATCCTCGGCGCCGAGAAGGCGCTCTTCAGGTACAGCGCTGCCCCGCACGCACGCTCGATATACTTTACCCTCTTGAGGTGTTGAAGCGACCTCACGCCGTCATGACATTCCTTTTCCGCCCCTCCCTGCTGTAAACTCATGCCACCATCACGGTCACGGCTGTCCATCTCTCTATACCACCTATTCTCTCCTCACACACACCTCTCCCCCAGTTCCATCCCTCTTTCTCCCTCACTCCACATTCTAAACCTGATTTCAATTCGCCCCTCTCCCTCCCTAATCTCTCCCCTGGCCCCGTGGCAGGGCGCTGAAGACGAAGGGCAACACGCCCAAGTACGGGCTGATCTTCCACTCGTCGTTCATCGGGCGCGCGTCCGCCAAGAACAAGGGGCGCATCAGCCGCTACCTCGCCAACAAGTGCTCCATGGCCTCACGCATCGACTGCTTCTCAGGTATGGCCTCGCGCATCGACTGCTTCTCAGGTATGGCCTCGCGCATCGACTGCTTCTCAGGTATGGCCTCGCGCATCGACTTCTTCTCCGGTGTCCCCCACCGCACGCATTCTCTGATTAATTTCTTTTGGTGATGCTGCCACACCCCTCTCGTTTCTGCAAGCCACAGTTGTCAGTTGGCCTGCGGTGCTCTGGCTGGCCACCAACTCTTCTGTGCCTCTCTCACTCTTGTCCCCTCCCCCACTTGTGCCACTACTGCTCCTGTTGTGGCAGAGGCATCCACGAGTGTGTTTGGGGAGAAGTTGAAGCAGCAGGTGGAGGACCGCCTTGAGTTTTACGACAAGGGAGTGGCGCCCAAGCGCAACCTGGATGTCATGAAGGCCGCCATCTCCGCCGCCAAGGCCCAGGCTCAGGCCGATGCTGACGTCGGCTCCAAGCGCCCTGCAGGTGGGCTCTGCTCCTGGGTGTGTGCTCACGGTATGGTGATAGGGTGGTTGCTGGAAGACCAGGCGATGACTTGGGTGCTCACCTGGTACAGGTGATGAACCAGTGCAGCAAACTTGAGTTGCTTGGCACATCGTCACCTCACCCCGTGCCTTGTCGTTTCTTGGTTTTCTCAACCCGTCCTTTGCATTCTTGTCCTCTTGTGCTGGTGTGGCTGTTTGGGCGATGGCAGAGGGAGAGGCAGCAGCAGGGGGGGCGGCGGAGGGGACACCAAAGAAGAAGAAGAAAAAGGCAGCGGCAGAGGCGGATGGGGAGACGCCAGGCAGTGGCAAGAAGAGCAAGAAGAAGGCCAAGGATGCGGCCGCAGGGGAGGCAGCAGCCAGTGCTGAGAAACCAAACAAGAAAAACAAGGCCGCTGCCACATAGCCTTTGGGGGATTCTTTAATTACCAAATACCAGTAGCCTTAGGAAGCTGATAAATAGCACACATTTTGGACTTAACCAAATTGTATAATGATTTTTTCACACCATGTTAGGCAGTCAATAATGTTAGGCAGTCAATAATGAGTTTACACAAGTACACCCTTGATCATAACACAGGTTGGTTGGTTATTCCTTGTAACTCTCAGCCTCCTGCGTCTGTTACGCGTGCCGCCATTTCGCCGAGTGTTCGTCCTCGGTTCAAGCTCCTCCACCACTGGCTTGTACAAGCACGCAAGTTCTTCACGTACGCTCTTCTGCTCCGCCGCTTCTTCGTCTGCGCCTCTCCGCGTCTGTCTAGATTGTCCGATTCACAACAATGCGTTTATAAAACCTCGAGCCGCTAATGCCCGGGCGACAATGCGCTTCCACGTCACACCGCGTAAGCGCCTCGTGAAACGACCTCATTTCGATACCGATTGGGGCTCCCGTACTGTTACGATCACCCAGACGCGAATGCGTGTATATCCTCCCCCATTGATCACGGCAGCCAGCCTCGCTCCTTCTCTTCCGCCCATCCTCCTCGTCTTCCACCGCATCCCGCAAGCGTCACCCTGTTACCCCACTTCCTGCGACCCCTCTCCCTGCGACCCCTCTCCCTGCGACCTCTCCAGGCGACTTCTACCCGCATCGATCCACCGCCGCCACTGGCGCGCCCGCTGCCGCCGGGGCAGCCGCCGAGCCCCGCCCCTGGTTGAGGTACGCACCCGTGCGCGCGCCCGCTTTGCCCCCCCAACATCCGTGCGCATATGCTCCCCCCTCAACCCCCCACTACTACACATTCCTGCGTGCCCGACCCCCCCTGGCAGTGCGGCGTGCGCGTGGGCGGCGCCGTTCGCGCTGGGCGCCGTGGTGGGCGCGGTGGCGTGCTCGCTGCTGCTGCTGCCCCTCGCACTCGCGCCGCTGGACGCGCAGGGCGGGGACGAGGGGCTCCTGCTGCAATCACACGCGGACACGTGGCAGGAGGGGCAAGGGGCGTGGCAGGGGGGAGCGGCAGCACCGTGGGACCAGCGTGTGGTGCGTCACCCACATGCCTCTGCTGCGAGCAGCGCTCTGCCCTTGGCGCCCCTCGCTGCTGCCGTTGACTCCGGCAGTGCACGCGCCAGTGGTGGTGCGGCGGGTGAGAGCGATGGTGACACGGACGCAGGAGAGGCACGGGCGGGTGAAGCGGGCATGCGTGATGTGCAAGGCAGGTGGGTGTCATGCACGCCTGCTACCCGCACACGCCTCTCGTGCCCGCGCCCACTCGCATAATCTTCTGGCCCTGCACACTCTTCCCCTCCTCTCCACCAATCCCCTCAACGCCCATCCATCTGTGAATGTGTGCGGCACCCAGCAGGCACCCAGCAGTGCGCGCGCTGGTGGAGGCGAACGGGCAGGTGATGCGGCAGCAGCAGCAGGCGGTGGCGGTGGCGGAGGAGGATGAGAGGGGCATGCACGCCGTGCTCTCAACCGCCCTGCAGGTGATGCGCGGGGGGGGAGGCAGGGCAACTGGATGGCTTTTGAGTTGCTCCATCCACATGTTGCCTCGGATTCAAGTTACCTCGGTTAGTTACCGATTTTTATTTGACAAACGAAAGGGGCACGGGGAGGGGAGCTTCGCAGGTGATGAGGGTGGAGGTGGGGAGAGAGAGGGCAATGGGATGTATGGGGGACGGTGCGTGGTGTGGCAGGAATGGTGCACTGAGTGATCTCCTTGCCATCTATGACTTGTGCCTCTCCCTCTGCTGCTGCCTTGCTCCAGGAGCTAGAGAGGGAGCGCCTCATGCCACATGGCACCGTGTCATTGGTGCAGCCGGAGTCCCTGGCAGCGCTGGCAGAGGCAGTGCGGGCGAGGCAGGAGGAGGCGCAGAGGGCAGGCGCGGAGGGGCAGGCAGCAGGCAACGCAGCAGACGCAGTGCAGGCAGCAGAGCAGGCGGTGCTTGGTGCAGTGGCAGCGGGGGGAGAGCAGACGGCTGACTTCTCGTCCCTGGTCAGCGCGGCACAGGCGGCTGGGCACGTGGGGCGCATGGGGCATGGTGCAGCGGGGGCGAGCGCTGGAGAGGGGCAGGGGGAGGACGCAGCGGAGGGGGAGATATGGGGCGGTGGGAGGGAGGGGGTGAGGCGGTGCATGGTGCTGCAGTGTGCAGTGGAGAGACAGCAGCTGGCAGTCGCTGCAGGTGCGTTGAGGGTCACAACACACAAGGCTTGCTGGGCTGGCTTTGGGGATGGTATTGGGGAGGTAAAAGGGAAGGTGGCATGAGGTGCGTGCATGCTGCAGGTGCACTCTGTGTCCTGTCCCCTCCTTCTCCACGTGACGCCCTCTCATTCCTCCTCATTCCTCGCTCGTGCCACCCACCATGCCCCATGCCCACTTCACACTGTGGTGGCAGCGCGGGCGCGGGTGGAGGCGGAGCAGAGGGCGGGCAAGGCGTGGGCGGTGCTGCAGCGGCAGCAGCAGTGGGGCGAGGGCGAGGGCGCAGGCACCGTGGCGGGGGAGGCAGTGCGGGCCGGCACAGTGGTGACAGTGGGGGATGTGGAGGCTAACCTCACTGCCTCGTCCTCTGATGCCCGTACGCTGCTGCCTTGTCATGCATGCACACGTGCACACATGCACTCATGCATTCATGCACCCACCCATGCACCTGTGCTCCCGTCCACCCTTGCACCCATGCACCCATGCACACCTGCACACATGCACACCTGCACCCATGCACACATGCACAGGTGCACTGGTCGTGTGCGCTATTCAGGTGGGCATATTTGTCCTTTGTGCCATGTCTGACATCCCTTGTCACATGCCAGGTTCGTCCCCAATCGTCTTTCATTCTTCCCATACCCCCCTGCACCATGCTACCCCCGTGCCCGCATGCCTCCCCCGCCCCCACCCCTGTCAGCGCACGTGGACTCCTTCCAGCGCCTGCTGCTCTCCCTGCGCCCCCTCGCCTCGCTCTTCTCGCTTCCCTTCTCCGCCCTCCTCTCCCCCAACGCCAAACACCCACTCGCCCCTCGCCTGCAATCCCTCATCGACGCCACGTCAGCACGCCTCCAGGCCGCCTCTGCCAGCCTGGCGGCGGCCCAGTCAGCTTTGGACTCATCTGAGCGGCAGCTGTGGCTGCGGTGTGGCGTGCAGGCGGGGGGCATGGCGTGGGAGGAGCGGCACGACGGCGAGCTGCAGCGGTACAGAGCGGTGGCGGGGGCAGCGTTTGACAAGTGGTGTGTGGCGTGGGAGGAGGCCCGCCCCTCTCACCGCCTCACGGCTGCCCTCACTGCCCCGCCTCACCTCTGGTGGCACGGCGGGTCGTGGGATGGCGAGCAAGGAGCAGGTGGGGGGGAGGGTGGTGCTGCAAGCGAGAGAGGAGGGGGGGTGGATGCAGGCAGTGCAGCAGGCGAGGGGGAAAGGGATGCTCCCGAGATCTCCTTTCTGCTGCTGGCAGATCCAGGAGCAGCACAGCCCGCATCAGCGGGGGCAGCAGTGGCGCCCCAGCAGGTGGTGCAGCGCCTTCATGCCTGCGCCTCCACACTGCCCCGCATGCACCAGCAGCAGCAGCAGCAGCAGCAACATCACCGCCCAACCCCACCCCTGATGCTGAAACTTCCCCTTCCGCTCCTCGCATGGGTGCTCCCCTGGCGGAGCTGCTGCTGCTGCTCTCACCCGTCAGCACCCACGCAGGGCAGCAGGTCGACGGGCAGGGCGAGGGGCAGCCAAGCGACGAGCAATGGGGCGAGGGGCAGCAGGCAGGTGGGGTGGAGGCGTGGCAAGCGGCGGGTCGCAGCATTGACCCGCAGCACATGCTCGTACTGCCGCTCGTGGCGCCGCATGCTCATGGTGCTGCCGTGGCGGTGAGCGGCGCAGAGGGTGGTGGCGGCGAGGCGGCGGAGGGCGATGGTGCGCGTGCAGCGGGGATGGTGCCGATGGCGGAGTGGGAGGGATTCGACCTGCTCGCACGCGCTGCCACTGGCCGCCTGCTGCTCCTGCTGACGTGGCGAGACCTGCCAGCTGTGATGCATGGGGCGGGTGAGGAGGGGTGCAAGTGGCTGGAGCAGCTGACTGCAGGGATGACAGAGGATGGGCGCATGGGGGTGGTGGGTGTGCGGACAAGCAGAGTGGAGAGGGGCGTGGGGAGGGCAGAGGAGGAGGGGGAGAGCAGGCAAGGAGAATGGGAGGGGGAGGTGGGTGGTGGAGCAGTGCTGGCAGCAATGGCGCAGTGGGGTGCGGTGGGCAAGGAGGGTAAGGACGGGGCTGGTCTGAGTGGGAGTGGTGACGCAGGCAAGGGGGCGGCAGGGGGCAGATTGGAGGCAGGGAGGCGCCTCACTGGCTACGTGGACGGCACTCCCCTGCTTGTGCGCCGCCACGCCCTCATGACACTTGGCGGCCTGGGATTGGCTCCCGGAGCACCAGCTGCAGGCCCGGCAGCAGCAGTGGCGGGTTGGGCTCTGTGCACGCGCATGTGGCTGGCTGGCTTCAAGGTGAGGGCGATGCACGCTTTCAGGGGACACACTTTGGGGCCTTTTGGATGAGACACCTGGGCGTTATAGTGAAGGGGCCATGGGCTTCAACATGATGCAGCCATGTGCATCACCACATGCAGTCCAAGCCAGGGTTTAGATGCTACCAGGGTTTCTTTCCTTCCACCTGCCTGTGTTGGCCCCTTCACAACTGCCTTCGTGCACCCCACACCCCTGTTCCTCAACTGCTTGTTTCTCTGCACAATCAGCTTACTTCCTCAACTGATATACTGCTCCCATCCGCTCCCCTCCCCTTTTTTGCCGTCCCCCCCACACCTTTTTCCTCTCTCCCGCCTTTCTCTTCATCCTTGCTCCTTACAGGTTTCTCGTATCACATCGCACGCCTTGCAACCTTTTGCCACGAGCCCAAGCGATCCTCGATTGTTATTGGGCCATGCTTTTCATATAAGTCAACTCACGCAGGCGGCCTTATATGCACAGTTCTATAAGTGTCTACTTAGTAAAAGTGATGCTTTACAAGCTAAAATGAAAGGCTAATATAGTGCAGACTGGTTGAACTGCACTGAGGGCTTTTTTTTTATTGTTAGTTTGTTTTTGGGGTAATAGGACCAGACAAGCACAGCCACGTGACCCGCCTGAAGAAAAACGCTCGGAACAAACACTTCCACCCCCAAAACGCTGAAGGATCCGCACATGTGCAGGAAGTGTAGCGGACACTCTTTATTCGCGAGCGCCGATGACCGATGATGCTCGCAACCCTCCCACGCCCATCCTGGCTTGGTAATAGGTTCAGACAAGCGCGGCCACGTGGCCCGGCGTAAGAAAAAACGCTCGGAACGAGCGCTTCCACCCCCATAATGTGGAAGGATCCGCACATGTGCATGAAGTGCAGCGGGCGCTCTTCATTCGCGAGCGCCGATGACCGATGATGCTCGCAACCCTCCCACGCCCTTCCTAGCTTGGTAATAGGCCCAAAAAAGTGCAACCACGTGACCCGGCGGAAGAAGAACGCTCGGGACGAGCGCTCCCGGCCCAAAAACGCGGAAGGATCCGCACATGCGCAGGAAGTGCAGCGGGCGCTCTTCATTCGCGAGCGCCGATGACCGATGATGCTTGCAACCCTCCCACGTCCTTGCTGGCTTGGCAAGAGGACCAGACAAGCGCAGCCACATGACTTGGCGAAAGAAAAACGCTTGGAATGAGCGCTTCTACCCCCAAAATGCTGAAGGATCCGCATTCGTGCGAAAAGTACCATTTTCTTGCCAGTCTACTAGATTAGGCCTTGTATTTTAATAATACTAGGTTCTAACTTTTTCGAACCACATCATTTGGGAGATTTCAGAGTTTCAGCTACGCCTTGTACCTGCACACAAACATGCATACTGACCGAACCGACCAACGCATTATTTTTTTTTTTTTTTTCTATGTAGAAATACAACGAGTATCACATATGTTTCTATTTTCCAATATAATATACCATTCCCCACCCCCCCACCACGTTCTAACCTTTTAGATCTACATAATTTGACAGATATAGACATTCCAAACGTGCATGGTACCTGTACTACAGGCGCGCATGCTGACCAAACTGACCAGCGCATTACTTAAATTTCCAAAGACATTCAGTACCATTTTCTTGCCGGTCTACAAATATAGGCCTTGTATTTTAATAATACTAGGTTCTAACCTTTTCGATCCACATAATTTTGGAGATTTCAGAGTTTCAGCTATGCCTTGTACCTGCACACAAGCGTGCATAGTGACCGAACCGACCAACGCATTATTTTCTATGTAGAAATACAACGAGTATCACATATGTTTCCGTTTTCCAATATATTATACCATTCCCCACCCCCCAACATGTTCTTACCTTTTAGATCTACATAATTTGATAGATGTAGACATTCCAAACGTGCATGGTACCTGTACTACAGGCGCGCATGCTGACCAAACTGACCAGCGCATTACTTATATTTGCAAAGACATTTAGTACAATTTTCTTGCCAGTCTACTAGATTAGGCCTTGTATTTTAATAATACTCGATTCTAACCTTTTTGATCCACATAATTTGGGAGATTTCAGAGTTTCAGCTACGCCTTGTACCTGCACACAAGCGTGCATACTGACCGAACCGACCAACGCATTATTTTCTATGTAGAAATACAACGAGTATCACGTATGTTTCCGTTTTCCATTATAATATACCATTCCCAACCCCCCACCACGTTCTAACCTTTTAGATCCACATAATTTGACAGATATAGACATTCCAAACGTGCATGGTACCTGTACTACAGGCGCGCATGCTGACCAAACTGACCAGCGCATCACTTATATTTGCAAAGACATCCAGTACCATTTTCTTGCCAGTCTACTAGATTAGGCCTTGTATTTTAATAATACTAGGTTCTAACCTTTTCGATCCACATAATTTGGGAGATTTCAGAGTTTCAGCTACGCCTTGTAACTGTATATATGCGTGCATACTGACCGAACCAACCAACGCATTATTTTCTATGTAGAAATACAACGAGTATCACATATGTTTCCCTTTTCCTATATAATATACCATTCCCCACCCCCCCACCACGTTCTAACCTTTTAGATCCACATAATTTGACAGATATAGACATTCCAAACGTGCATGGTACCTGTACTACAGGCGCGCATGCCGACCAAACTGACCAGCGCATTACTTATGTTTGTAGAGACAGTTGGTACCATTTTCTTGCCAGTCTACTAGATTAGGCCTTGTACTTTAATATAACTAGGTTCTAACCTTTTCGATCCACATAATTTTGGAGATTTCAGAGTTTCAGCTACGCCTTGTACCTACACACAAGCGTGCATACCGACCGAACCGACCAACGCATTATTTTCTATGTAGAAATGCAACGAGTATCGCATATGTTTCAATTTTCCCATACAATATACCATTCCCCACCCCCCCACCACGTTCTAACCTTTTAGATCTACATAATTTGACAGATATAGACATTCCAAACGTGCATGGTACCTGTACTACAGGCGCGCATGCTGACCAAACTGACCAGCGCATTACTTATATTTGCAGAGACATTTAGTACCATTTTCTTGCCAGTCTACTAGATTAGGCCTTGTATTTTAATAATACTAGGTTCTAACCTTTTTGATCCACATAATTTGGGAGATTTCAGAGTTTCAGCTACGCCTTGTACTTGCACACAAGCGTTCATATTGACCGAACCGACCAACGCATTTTCTTCTATGTAGAAATACAACGAGTATCACATATGTTTCCGTTTTCCAATATAATATACCATTCCCCACCCCCCCACCACGTTCTAACCTTTTAGATCCACATAATTTGACAGATATAGACATTCCAAACGTGCATGGTACCTATGTCAATGGGAGTTGTGTGTTGGCCCCGTCCTCGCTTGGGCCGAGCCGACCGCGTGGTCGGGTGTAGGGGTGCAGCCGACCTGTAGCAGTGGGCGAGCTGGTCGACGGGGTTGGTCGACCTGCACGGGAGCCACTGCAAGGGCGCCAACTTCGGGTGGTCGACTGTTGGAGCAGGCTAGTGTTCGCTCTACCGTTTATTTTGGCCTTATATGTCAAACATTGCATGTTTATATTGTCTAGGCTGTAGTGGGTTACACCTTAGGGGGTACACAAAGTTAGGGTTTCCTACTTGTACCAAACTCTGTTCTAGTTCATTCATTCCTGCTCAGTTATTTCTGACATGGTTTCAGAGCAGGTCCTTCGCTAGGACTGTTCTTAGGGCCCACCGACTTACCTACCTGCTTACCTTCGCTTGTTTCCGGCCCCGCTGGCCCCGTCGATCTAGCACGATCTAGCGGCCCTGCGGCCCCTTCGATTTTTTTTTTTTTTTTTTTCCTAGCGGCCTCTCACGGCCCCCGTCGCGTCGCCCCTTAGCGCCCCGATCGGCCCCGTCACGCCGCCCGCGAACCGCACAGCGCGCCGCGCTCACAGCCCGCGAACCGCCCACGCACAGCCCGCGAACCGCCTGCGCAGCCCGCGACCAGCCCGCGCAGCCCGCGCACAGCCCGCGAACTGCCCGCGAGCAGCCCGCGACCTGCCCGCGAACCCCCGCGAGCCGCCCGCGACCCGCTTACGCAGCCCGCGAGCAGCCCGCGCAGCCCGCGCTGAGCCTGCGCGGCTCTTGCGCTGACCGCCGCCGGCCCGCACGCTGCCCGCGCAGCTCACATACGGCCCGCACGGCCCGCGCGCTGCCTGCTCCCGGCCCGCCGCTGCTGAGCCCGCAGCCGCCCGCGCACCGCTGCTGCTGAGCCCGCCGCCGCCCGCGCACCGCCGCTGCTGCGCCCGCCGCCGCCCGCGTATCACCGCTGCTGAGCCCGCCCCTGCTGCGCCGGCTCTCGCTGCCGCCTGCTGCGCCTGTGCACCACTGCAGATCCTACTACTACACTTCCTGCTACTGCTGCTTGTGCGCCACTACAGTCCGTAGGCCCCACCGGCCCCGCTGACCCTGCGCACGCCTTTTCAGTGACTTTACTGCTTCTACTACTGCCGCTGTCGCTATGGCTAGTCCTCCTGTTCTAGCTTTCGACGCCGAGGGCCGTCCGGTCAAATTCGAAACCTGGCTAGATGACCTGCACCTTTTCCTACAGCTCACTGCCAAGGAAGATATTACACTGTACGACCACGCTCTCGGCCATGCGACCGCCCCACTCGCTACTGCCCCCCCAGCTGAGCGCTCACAGTGGCAGACCCGTGACGCGCACGCTCGCTTTGCTATTCGCAACTCCCTGCCGCTAGATGAGCGCGAGCACTTCGGCCAGTGCAAGACTGCTAAGGACCTCTACACAGCTGTAGTGGCCCGCTACTCCTCACCCGCTTCTGCCACGCTAGGCCGCCTCACTCTCCCCTACCTGTTCCCCGACCTAGCCTCCTTTCACACTGTCGCAGACCTCATCACCCACCTTAAGACTAGTGAGGCTCGCTTTCGCGCTGCCATGCCTGACGAGTTCCTCGCTAGCAACCCCCCCCCGCTCTGGATCACTCTCTACCACGTTGTCACCCGCCTCCCTGACTCTCTGCGCCCTGTCAGGGACCAGTTCCTCTCTCGCTCCCCCACTGAGCTCACCGTAGACCTCCTCGAGAAGGAACTGCTTGCAGCCGAGGCTAGTATCGTCGCTGTAGGCACCTCTCGTGGCGACCCCCGCGGCCCCTTCTTTGAGGGGTGCTCCCCTTCCCCCCTCCTCCCCTCTGTCGCCTCTGCTGCTGCTGTCGACCTCCTTGGTGCTGAGAAGGTCGGGGCTGCGTCTGCTTCAGGCGGACGACGCAGGGGCAGGAGTGGCAGGAGTGGGGGTGGTGGCGGAGGAGGCGGGGGTGGAGGTGGTGGCGGTGGAGGTGCGACTGGAGAGGCTAGTGGCGGCAGTGGTGGAGGTGACAGCGGCGTTGGGAGTGGTGACAGGGGCGGAGGTGGCAGCGGAGGCGGAGGTGGTCGTGGCAGCGGCAGGGGTGGAGGTGGCCGCAGCGGAGGCGGAGGGGGTGGTGGTCGTGGAGGCCCGGGGGGCGGTCAGAGTCAGCAGCCTGCCCCGACCCTTCAGGCCGCCCGTGAGTGGTATGCGCGACGCAGCGTCACCTGCCAGTACGTTATTCGTACAGGTGACCGCACTGGCCAGACGTGTGGGGGGCCGCACCAGACGGAGCGCTGCTTCGCCCGCCTCAACGATGCGTGGCGCACCCAGTTTCCTGGTGGGGGTGAGCTGCCGCGCTGGGCTGAGCTGCTCAGGAAGGGTGTTGATATTTGGGCACTAGACTTTGATGCTATTCTCACTGCCATGTATGCGATGTCTATTAGTGGAGAGGGTGCTCAGTACTTGCGTGTTCCGCCCGACCCGGGCATTCAGGCCAGCCCCGCTGCTGCTCTAGGTGCTTGTGCGTCTGTGCCCCCTGGTACTGAGTCGACTGCAGCACTGCACACCTTCACACTGGACTCAGGTGCTTCTCGCTCTTTCTTTCGTGACCGCACTGTCCTTGAGCCTCTAGCTCGGCCGGTTGCTGTCTCTCTTGCTGACCCCTCTGGGGGTCCGGTCCTTGCGACCTCCTCCACCACCCTTCCGTGTCCAGCGGTTCCGTCCGGCACGCTCTCAGGTCTCTACCTCCCCTCGTTCTCCACGAACTTGGTGGCAGGTAGTGCGCTCCAGGACGGGGGTGTTCACCAGTTCACCCCTGCCTACGAGCGTGTGACTCACTGCACGTGTGCTCGGACGGGCCGCCACCTAGCTACTTTCACTCGAGAGCCGGGGTCTGACCTGTACACACTGACCACTGAGTCCCCTCAGGTAGCTGCGTCTGCGTCAGCGTCAGGTCAGCTGTCCGCCCCCTGCTCGTGTCGCTCTCTGGCGAACGACACCGTCCTCTGGCACCACCGCCTTGGTCACCCGTCTGTGCAGCGCCTGCGGGCCATGCACAAACGGGACCTTGTTGCTGGTCTTCCCAGGGTGCTCCCTCCCCTTCCTGACTCCCCTGCTCCTGACTGCATTCCCTGTGTCGAGGGGCGGCAGCGCGCCGCTCCTCACTCCTCCTCCTTTCCCCCGACGACCGCTCCCCTGCAGACGCTCCACATGGACGTGTGGGGCCCAGCCCGCGTCCGTGGTCAGGGTCAGGAGAGATACTTCCTGATAGTTGTTGACGACTACTCGCGCTACACCACGGTCTTCCCCTTGCGCGCCAAGGGTGACGTCCCTGGTGTTTTGATCCCCTGGATCAGCCGAGCCCGTCTCCAGCTAGGCGAGCGCTTTCACTCGGACTTTCCTGTCCTGCGCTTGCACTCTGACAGAGGTGGTGAGTTTGCCTCCGACCTCTTGGCAGCCTACTGTGCTGAGCACGGCATTGAGCAGTCGTACACGCTTCCGGCCTCTCCACAGCAGAATGGGGTCGCTGAGCGCCGCATTGGCTTGGTCATGGAGGTCGCTCGTACCTCCCTGACCCATGCGGCTGCTCCCCACTTTCTGTGGCCGTTTGCGGTCCGGTACGCAGCGCATCAGCTCAACCTCTGGCCCCGTGTCTCCTTGCCGGAGACTTCCCCGACTCTACGGTGGACGGGAGAGGTTGGCGATGCGTCGCGTTTCCGGGTCTGGGGATCTCGAGCTTTTGTCCGCGACACGTCCGCGGACAAGCTCTCGCGTCGCGCTGTTCCCTGTGTCTTTCTTGGCTTTGTTCCCGACGCGCCTGGATGGCAGTTTTACCACGTCACCTCGCGCCGGGTTCTGGCCTCTCAGGACGTCACTTTTGACGAGTCCGTCCCCTTCTACCGCCTCTTCCCCTACCGCACTGCCCCGCTCCCCCCCCCGCCTCTCTTCCTCGCTCCAGGTGCTGAGGTACCAGACCCCCTCCCCCCTCAGGGTGCCGCTCCCTCAGGTGTGTCCCAGGTAGACCCGGGTGAGCCTGTCGAGGTAGCTGTTGACTCGCGTCCTGCGTCTGGGGGTGCTGAGCCTGGGAGTGCTGCGTCTGAGGGTGCGGAGCCTGGGGGTGCTGAGCCTGGAGGTGCGGAGCCTGGGGGTGCTGAGCCTGGAGGTGCGGAGCCTGGAGGTGCGGAGCCTGGAGGTGCGGAGCCTGGAGGTACTGAGCCTGGGGGTGCTGAGCCTGGACGTGCTGAGACTGGGGGTGCTGAGTCTGGGGGTGCTGAGTCTGGGGGTGCTGAGCCTGAGCGTGCTCCACCTGGAGGAGCCCTCTCCTCCCAGCAGCTGCAGGAGAGGTACCTCGAGTACTGCCGCCTCCGGAGAGGTGCTTCTGGAGCTCGTCCCGGTACTTCCCCTCCTACCCAGGAGCTCCCCCCCATTCAGGTGATCCGCGAGTGGTACACGCGGCGCTGCAGTCTTCGTAGTGGTGCTCCTGGTGCTGCGGACCCGAGCGGTGGTGTTGTTGCTGGTGCTGAGGACCCGGACGCTGGAGCTGCTGCTGGTGCTGAGGACCCGGGGGCTGGAGCTGCTGCTGGTGCTAAGGACCCGGGCGTTGGAGCTGCTGCTGGTGCTGAGGACCCGACCGGTGGCGCTGCTACTGGTGCTGAGGACCTGACCAGTAGCCGTACTGCTGGTGTTGAGGACCCGGGCGTTGGAGCTGCTGCTGGTGTTGAGGACCCGACCGGTGGTGCTGCTGCTGGTGCTGAGGACCCGGGCGTTGGAGCTGCTGCTGGTACTGAGGACTCGGGCGTTGGGGCTGCCACTGGTGTCCCTGCTGCTTCTGGAGACGCTGCGCGACCGCGACCGTACTTCGTACCGCTCCTTCAGCAGGTTCTTGGTCAGGCTCCTCCTCCTAGTCCTCCTCCCTCCGTCGAGTGTCCTCTGCCTGTCCAGCCGCAGTCACAGTTACCGCCTGCCTCGCCTCTCCCTGCTCCCTCCCCTTACGCTGGTCCCACAGGAGGTCTTACAGAGCGTCGTGAGCCTGAGTCTCGTCCTGCGTCGCCTGTTCGTACTGCTCGCACTGGTCGTCGTGTCCCACGTGAGCGTCCTCCTCCTGTCCCTGGCACTCACTACATGACTCTGCGTCCCTCCACTGCTCCGCAGCGTGTCCCGCTGCCGTCTCCTCCTGTGTCCTCTCTTCCTACTCTTCCTGACCCGGAGTCTGACTCCCGTCGTGCTGCCAGTCCCACTGTTACGCGTCTCCTCGCTACAGTTGTCACTGACCCGACCTTTGAGTCCTCTGCTGCGTCTGCTCTGGTCGCTGAGTTGGTTGACTTTGCTGCTCGCTGTCGCCTAGACTACGCTGCCAGCCTTGTCGCTAGGTCTGAGTCTGCGTCTGCCTGTCCTCCGTCCGTCGGGGGTGAGTGTGCCCTCGGCACGGACGTCCTTGAGGACAGACAGGAGGAGTTCCACTGCCTTGCTGCTGCTTTGCCCCGTCTCGTGTCCTTGCTAGTTGCCCCTGAGGGAGACCCGGATGCACCAGACATCCCGACCCCACGCTCTTACGCTGAGGCGATGGCGGGTCCCTACTCCTCTCAGTGGCAGACAGCCATGGACGCAGAGATGGCCTCCTGGAAGTCCACAGGCACCTACGTAGACGAGGTTCCCCCTCCTGGGGCGAACATCGTCAGTGGCATGTGGATTTTCAGGGTGAAGCGGCCGCCGGGTTCTCCACCTGTCTTCAAGGCGCGCTACGTGGCTCGAGGCTTCAGTCAGCGAGAGGGAGTAGACTTCTTTCAGACCTTCTCCCCCACCCCGAAGATGACTACTCTTCGGGTGCTGCTGCACATAGCCGCTCACCGCGACTACGAGCTTCACTCTCTTGACTTCAGCACTGCTTTCTTGCAGGGCAGCCTGCACGAGGAGATCTGGCTGCGCCGCCCCCCTGGCTTCACTGGGTCAGTTCCTCCTGGCACCCAGTGGAGGCTTCAGCGGCCGGTCTACGGTCTCCGCCAGGCGCCACGTGAGTGGCACGACACACTGAGGACGACACTTGCGGCTCTTGGGTTCGCTCCCTCTACTGCTGACCCGTCGCTGTTTCTACGCACCGACACCTCGCTGCCGCCGTTCTACATCCTCGTGTACGTCGACGACTTGGTCTTTGCCACTGCTGACACCGTGGCACTCGCTCACGTGGCTGCAGAGGAGTACGTGAAGTCGGAGCTGCAGAGGAGACACACGTGCACAGACCTGGGTGAGCTGACGAGCTATCTTGGCTTGCGGATCACCCGGGACAGAGCACGGCGCACCATCACCCTGACTCAGTCACACATGGTGCAGCAGGTTCTCCAGCGCTTCCGCTTCACGTACTCCTCGCCTCAGTCCACTCCTCTGCCTACCGGTCACTCGCTCTCAGCTCTGCCTTCGGATGAGTCCGTAGAGCCGAGTGGCCCGTATCCAGAGCTTGTGGGCTGCCTCATGTACCTGATGACCTGCACTCGACCTGACCTTGCATACCCTCTTAGCATCCTAGCACGCTATGTCGCTCCTGGCCGTCACCGGAAGGAGCACATGGATGCTGCTAAGAGGGTGTTGCGCTACTTGTGCAGTACGTCGGGCATGGGGCTTGTGCTTGGAGGGCGAGACCGGGTTGTTCTCACAGGGCACTCAGACGCTTCTTGGGCAGACGACCAGGCTACTCAGCGGTCGTCCCAGGGTTACACCTTCAGCCTTGGCTCTGGCTCAGTTTCTTGGCGTTCTACTCGCTCTTCTTCTGTTCTCAGCTCCAGTTGTGAGGCTGAGATCTACGCCACAGCCATGGCTGCCCAGGAGCTACGCTGGCTGACCTACCTGCTGACCGACTTGGGTGAGCGGCCTCGTTCTCCTCCAGTGCTGTACGTCGACAACAAGGCTGCCATTGCCTTGTGTGAGGAGCACAGACTGGAGCACAGAACGAAACACATCGCTCTGCGGTACTTCCTTGCTCGAGAGCTGCAGCAGCGTGGTCAGCTTTGTCTGCGTTACGTGGCCACGGAGGCCAACACTGCTGATGTGTTCACCAAGGCGCTTCAGCCTTGTGACCATCAGCGCTTTTGCACTCTGCTAGGCCTTGTACCCACTGGGCCTCACTTGCTTACCTCTTGACCTTGCTTGTACTGTGATCACTATATATATATGCCTACTTGTTTACTTTTGCTAGGTTGTGATCACTGTATCTCTTGCTTTGTTATAAACCTGCATGTGAACTGGTCTTGTGACTGCTTGCTTGTGCTCGGAATTTGTGTGGAATCCTTGAGATCCACCCTGAGCTTGCTTTGCTTTGCTTTGACTGGTCTTGTGACCCTGTGGTTGTCTCCCACTGCGCCTATGGGGGTGTGTCAAACATTGCATGTTTATATTGTCTAGGCTGTAGTGGGTTACACCTTAGGGGGTACACAAAGTTAGGGTTTCCTACTTGTACCAAACTCTGTTCTAGTTCATTCATTCCTGCTCAGTTATTTCTGACATTATATTATTTTCTGGCCACTT